GTCCTCGCGCCCTCTGCCGCCCCGTCCTCCTCCCCCTCGCCTCCCCGCCTCCCCGCCTCCCTCCCTCCGCCCTCCTCCCTGCTCCCTCCTCCCCCGTCCTCCCAGGGAGGGAGGGAGGGAGGGAGGGAGGAGGGCCAGAGTAAGCCCAGGGCGCACCAGCGGTGCTGCAATACGCCCTCTCGTCCCCAGTCCCCTCCTCTTCAGTCAGGGAAGCGTGAGACTCGAGTGCGCCGGAGCTCGGGTCTGTCGACGCTCTTTGACGAGCGCGTCCTGGGTTTAGACGTTCCAGTTTTCGTGTGGTGTCTGCAGCGGGAGCTCGCGTCAAGTTTCTGACTGGCTCTCGTCATCTTCATGATGGCCCCGTCAGGGCAACCCGAGTCCCTCGAACCCGTGTCTCACCTCCCCTCCTCTTCAGCCGCTACAGGTCTTCCTGCCCAGCACAAGACGCGCCCCTCTGGGAGACCAGCACCCCGCGGGCTTGCCGTTCGGGCGAGAGCACCATCTGGAGAGAGGAAGCTGCCCTGCACCATCGTGGCGCTCAGTCAGGAATGCGAGGTGGTATCATGATACAATTCGACTGCCAGTGGGGGCCCATGCCAAGAAACGCCCTGCTTGCCTCCAGGGTGCCCTGGGTTTCTTGGATTTCGATGGTTTCACTGTGGACGCCGTGACGTTCCCACACCGGGAATCAGTGGACGTCCTCGGTTCTCAGGGTTGGGTTTCTTGTGGAATATTTCGTGTGGTCGGGCCCCTACTGTAGATGTTCAGATATATCTTCGTTTTGGAAAAGGACCACCCCTCATCCGTGGGACTGTTGCACAAGTTTGCGACTCTTAGTCATGAACTTCGAGGAGGTCTCAAACGGTAATTCTCCCATTCTGAAGCAGAATTGCCCTCCAGCCCTGATGTTGATGTACATATGTTGCATCTTCTGGTTTCATATTTAGGGGAAGTCTTCGGCGAGATCCCCACTTTGAAAAGGAACCGTCTGCCAACCGTGTTGCGGTTGCAGCAACCTTTTGGGCACATGTGCGCGGCGATAAGGCGAGCGCCTCATTGTGAAATGGAGCCGCCCGTCCCATCCTTGTAATGATAGCAAGCTTTTGCGACAATCCTGTGCGTGCCAAAAGGAGTTTGTTCTTACACATACATCTATGGGAGATCCCGGCCCCTGGGCCCTGGGCCAGACCCCCCGGCTTGTACATTCTTGCCCCCCCTTCCCTCCGGGCGGTTCCCCTGGAGGCCCCCAGAGGACCCCGAGGCCCCTGGACCGCCCGAGAGCGCTCCGAGAGGGCCGAGGACGGTCTCCAGGCCGCCCGCGAGGCCCCCAGTACGCCCCGACAGGCCCTGGAGCGCGCCGAGACGCACCAGGAGGGCCTCGAGAAGACCCAAGATGCCTCCCAAGAGGGCCCCAGGAGGCCAACATCGCTCCATTCATTCCCGTCGGAAAACGCATCGTTTTATGATATTCGCTTGTCCGGATCTCAAGGGACGCCCAATACAGCCCAAGAAGAGAGCCCCAAGAGAGCTCCAAGGGAACCCCAAAAAGGCCCAAGAGAGCCTGGGAGGCCTCCAGGGCGCGGCCAAGAGGCCCCTACAAGCTCCCGAGAGACCCCCAAGAGGCCTCGAGAGACCCCCAAAAGCTCCCGTAGAGGCCTCCAAGAGGACACAGCCTTTCGAAGCCGCGTGTAGCGCAGGGCTCGGCCATCTTTTCATACACTGTGTGCCGTTGGAGCAGTGCGGATCGGGCTGCTACGCGATCCCGTCATATTCCTTTCCCTTCCTCCATCCCTTCGCTCTCCATCATTCTGGGGATCGGAGATCCTGGGAGGGTTCTTGGGCTTGATTGTCGCTTGGGTTGTGAGTACCGTCGTTGTATGCACCGCATTCGGAGGAGCTCCCTACAGGGCCACGAAACGTGTGAAGGGTGTGTCAAGACTTGTGCGGTGGGCACATGCGAACGCTGCCAATGTGGCTGTCGGAGGAGCTCCCGACGGGGCCGCGAAACGTGTCAGGTGTGTACCACAAGGGGTGCGGTGGGCGCATGCGAACGCAGCCACCAGGGCCGTCGGTGGGGCTTCCTATGGGCCACGAAGCGTGCGAGGGGTGTGCCAAAATGTGTGCGGTAGGCGCATGTGAACGCAACCACTGAGGCTGTCGGTGGAGCTCCGTATGGGGGCCGCGAAACGTGCTAGGGTGGGTGCGAAAATGGGCGCGGTGGGCGCATGCGAACGCAGCCACAGGGGCCGTTGGTGGAGCTCCCTACGGGCCTCGAAACGCGTGAGGGGTGTGCCAACTTGGGTGCGGTGGCCGCATGCGAACGCTGCCACTTGGGCCGTCGGTGAAGCTCCCTATGGGGACGCGAAACGCGTGAGGGGTGTGCCAAATTGGGTGCGGTGGCCGCATGCGAACGCAGCCACTGGGGCCGTCGGTGGGGCTCCCTATGGAGACGCGAAGCGTGTGCGGTGTGCGGTGTGTGTGTGTGTGTGTGTGTGTGTGG